CCCCAGGTTTGCAGAACAATCTGAAATCTAGCGAACAGGCTAATCAGAAGGAACATCTCTAGCTTTAAGAGATGAATGTCCACCAAGATCTTGCAAGTTAAATTACAAGGTCTTGGCAGCCAGGCAGGGTGGGCATTGCTCAGCAGCCACAGCAATACCGCTGAGCCTTTCAAGCCTTGGTTTCAGTCAGTCAAAGGGGAAGGAAGCAAGGAAATGGAAAAGAGGAGAGGCTGCCAGGGGTTGGAAAGCTGAAGTCTATGGTGGGGAAATGGATAAAGGTCGACTGGTTGGTGGGAAAGAGAGTAGGAAGCAAGTAGGAAAAGGGGAGAGGAAGAACTGCGGGGAGGAGGTACAGGAAGAAAATGAGTTTTTATGGCATATCCTACAGGTCCCGTCTGGTGTTTCAAATGCACTCATTTGGGTGGAAACTGGCATGGTTACCCTAAAGACTCAATTATGGATTGCTGCTATCCTATATTGGTTCAAATTAGTGTCCAGGCCCACTGGTTTAACAAGCTTGATATTGAGAGACTCTATGACACCTTATTGGATGAAAGAAGTTGAGTTTAAATTGGGTTATTAAATATCGGAATTTCACTATTGATACAAAATTTAATTTAGAAGAAATCGTATATTTGTAAACCGAGGTTTAAGTGTACTTAGTATGGTTATGGTATATAGTTTTGTGTTATTGGTTTCTGTTTGTTAAAAGATAAAAAGCAATAAAATATTTGGTTAAAAAAAATGGGTTATTATGAGCTCTCTCAACAGTTTATGATGCAGCTGGAATATAGTTCTGTTAAACCTTTTCTTAAACAAAGAATCCTGGATATTGAAAGACAGCACAATCTGTCCCAGATTAACTGCTATCTTCCAGGTACAGAGAACTTGAAACAAATATTACTGATGCCATACCTACAGAATTTAGATAAAGCTGAGTATAGAAGAGCTTTTACTCTTATGAGAGCAAATATGCTTCCTTCAGTGGTTATAGAGAATAAATACAAAAGGCGTCCCTATGAAGAACGTTTGTGCATCTGCAGGGATGGAAGGATTGAGTCAAGGGAACATGTTCTTTTTGAATGTAAACGTTACCAGAACTTCTGTTCTGTTTATTTAGCGCCAGTCTGTCTCCAATTCCCGGGGAGAAATTTTAGTTTTTACTTAGATAATCTTTTAGCCAACAGGAATCAAGAGATTACTTTAATGGTGGTAACGTTTGCTGTGAAGGCCATAAGATATCACCAACAATTTTTAGATGGAAATGCCTAGTTTAATTTTATGTTTAAGATTTTTATAAGGGGTGTTTGGCTGAATTGTATACCCTGTCTGTTTTACGGCTTTGGTGGTGATTTGATGGGTCTTTGACCATATTAAACATTTGAATGAATGAGATGCCCCCTCCCCCGGAGTCCTTGCAGGTCCCCCACTACTAAATCATCACGTTACCACATTGCTGTGTCTTGTCAATTCTAAAATAGCAACTTCTTTTTAAAGAGTTGGTTTTAAATACAACATTCACTACTTTAGCCTTGAGTCTCAAGATCCATTCTTGGCGCAGACTGGTCTAAGATTTTATATAAAATATATTCAAAAAGCACAAACAGCAAAATGCATGCAGGTTTACTTACATATTCGCTAGCATTAGATTCATATATTACTGAGAAGTTCATCATCCATCTTGCATAGAGACATGTTTTGTTGGACTCATCCTTCACTTCTATGTCGACTGCATACGTCTCTGATGAAGCTGGAATATTATTTGCTTGTTAAGACAACACAACACTAGCCGCTTGTTCAACTCCAACTTTTCATTCATACTGCTTACCAATAGTTCATTCCTTTCTAATATTTTTTTTATTTATTACTTCAATTTATACCCTGCCCTCCCTACAAGCAGGCTCATGGCGGCTTACAACATTGACACCAATTGCCAATAAAACCATAAAACATTATAAATCAATACAGTAAATATAAATTCCGAAAATTATAAGGTGCTATTAATATCCACTTTATGCTTATATTTACACAGGATAAAGTCTAGGTTCGTGCTGCCAAAAGTTATGTTTCAGAGTTAGCGCCACAAGAGTTTTTTAAGGCCACTCGTTCACCAGACGTCTCCTCAAAGAGAATCTACAAAGCACTGCATGCCACGTTCTAGACCTCACCAAAAGACCTGGGAGCAATCTGCATATTTTAAAAACACAGTGTAGTACAGATGAAGTCTTAGTTCCCTGCCAATGGTGCCCTAAGCGCATCCCTTCAGAAAACCCTTTGCACACTGCCTCTTCTGCCAAGGGATCACTGTACAACTGCCACATAACCTTGCGTATTGCAGAATATTCTGGAGTGTCTACACTGTGCATTTCATGTAGGGTTCTTTCTAGCTCGGCTGGAATGTTTCATAGCCTTGCTTGACCTATGGTTACCCTATTAGCATACTCACCCTTCCCTACATTTCGTTCTTTAAGGAACCTTTCCCATTTTGTCAGGGAACCCCGCCTAAGCCAATGGATCCGGATGTAAGCAAAGAGTCTCACGGCTTTTTCAGGAGGATCATGAAAATAAGAGGAAGGAATAGGGTGAAAGAGGCAGTTTGACAGTGGATTTGGGTCTGCATCATGAAATATAGCTAACGGCTCAGTAATGCTATATATTTATAAATACTAAAAATGAAAAAAATCTAAGTCAGCTCATTAACTGATATGTTTGTCAGACAGAAAAACAGTGCAGAGCTCCTTTGCAACTGGATCCTGAGAAATACAGTAAGTTTACAAGTGGGCTTCACTTCAGCAAGTTTGTGAGCCAGTGCCTTAAGCACCACTTGAAGGACCTCTGCATTGCGGAGAGTTCTGGGGCATTTCTAACTCTGTACATATGGAAGACATGGACAGCCTCTCTATTAGCCCATGTGAACAGGGAATGTGCTCCAGAACAACCACTGCCTTTGTTTTATACACTACTAGCAGTACTGAACAAGCTGCCTCTCAGGGACACTTGCTCCCATTACTGATTTCGTCATATAAAAGCCCCTGATAAGCCTTGGAGAAACCACGGGTTTTCCTGGAACACAATTTGAAAGCCACTCAATTAGACACTTAGCATCTGGAGAATTCCTTGGGTCTAGAGAATGACTGGACCATATCCTCTCAGTTGCACCACTATTTGTTGCATCCTCCCTTGATGCATTTCATGATGCTGCTCTTTGTGCATTAAAACATGTGGGGAAGACACCAGCTGAAGAGACGGGCATGGCCATTTAGGCTTGGCTGGGGGCAGGAAGAGTAGATAACTAACAGCAACTCTGCTGGCCTTGCACCCAGCATGCAGCCAAAAACCCAAAGCAAAACACGAACCATATAACAACATATTAGGACGAATTGAAATACCACAAAACAGTGTGTGTGCTTATGAGCACCCCAGAACTTCTGTCATAATGGGAGTTCGGTATGTAATAAATTAAGGAGGGTGTTAGAGAAGGACTGAACAGCCCTGACTCCACAGCTTGTAGGATCTTAAAAGGGAACATGCTGCATTGCAGAATTAGTGATGGGTACAACACGTTTCAAACATAAAAGCCAGCAGCCAGAGTAACAGAACTCTCGGGGTTTTACTGTTTCACCCAGTTCTGAAACAAAACAGCTCTTCCCATTTACTGAGCGGCAAGTGCTTCTGAGATTCCCAAGACACTTCACGCAGTCAGGCAAGGTAGGCCAATAGTAACCTCCATGTTACAGATGGGAAAACATTTCGGGGTGGCAGCCCTGTAGTCTCCTACCCACCAAGGTGCCAAGTTGAGATTTAAACCAGAGACTGTAGCACTGCATGTAGCTGAGGAGGGCAATATTCCTATTTAGCTTTTTTGAAAGGTAAAGAGTAAAAGCAAACAACAGTTCTACTAGAAACTTCATTTTTCAGTCAGCTGATCGGCAGCATGTTTTCCCCAACTCCTCTAGAACAGATCTGATGCAGACAGGGTGAGACCGCTGCTAGGCTCCTGCCTATTGTTACTCTTATTGAACTACAAGTTAAATATTTATTTTAAACGTATCTGTTTTTAGCTATGACTCTTTCCAGATCTGCTACTGAAACGTGTTGAACACCTTTGCTTTAGGCTTGGAGCTAGCTTTTTATGTTTTATGAATTTGCTCATAGCAGAACATGTTCCAGATATCTACAAGGGGAGGCCACAGAAGCAGAAACCAGTGTTCCCTCTAAGCCGAGTTAGTGTGAGCTAGCTCACAGTTTTTTAGTCTCCGGCTCACACATTTTTGTTCTCACTGTGAGCAGCTCAACTTTCCAGCAGAAGTGGAGAAGTGAAGCCTATTTCCACTTTCACTTGAGAGACAGCACATCAAGAGCCACACACACACAAAACCTTTATTGGCATGAAAGCACAAAACATCATGGAAATGCGGGAAAATACTAAGATGCATCAGTCACTTACACTCGGCTATTCAAGCCTCGTCTTCTGATTGCATAATATAAAAATTCTGCAACAGCCTCCATTATTTCGCAATTAGAATTAAACAGAAGAAAGTGAACAATTGAGTCATCAGAGTGCCAGCTATCAAGAGCCACACACTGAAGTCATATTTTCTATGCTACTATTAGTTTAATCCTTATGCAATTAAGCGTTCATAATGTTTCCACTTTCCTTCTTGGTTCCAAAAAAGCTTTTAAAGGCCTTGTGTCACCTAATGCCCTTGTGTTGTCAAATGCCGTCTCCATGCCTGCAGGAAAAGACATGCTTCCCTTCTATCCACTTTGATTCAGACACTCAACTCTTACACAAAAGGCTTTTAACACCTCGGAGTCAGGCTGGAGTCAGATGGTGGTGGCTACAAGCAAGGACAGCTTCAAGAGGGAATTAGATAAGCACAAGAGGGGGACCCGCGATACTCGGCGGCGAGGTCGGTCCTCCCCCCCGGCTCCGAGGTGGCGGAGGCGAGTCCGGTCCCCCCCTGGCTCCGACCCGGCTGGGCTCCGGCGGCGGCAAGGCCAGTCCTCCCCCCCGGCTGGCTCCGAGGCGGCGGCGAGTCTGGGCCCCCCTGCACGGCTGGGCTCCGCGGCGGCGAGGCCGGTCCTCCCCCCGGCTCCGAGGGCGGTCCTTCCCCCCCCCTTTGCCAGGCTCGGCGGCGGCGAGGCCGGTCCTCCCCCCGGCTCCGAGGGTGGTCCTTTCCCCCCCCTTTGCCAGGCTCGGCGGCGGCGAGGCCGGTCCTCCCCCCCGCCCACCCACCTCCGAGGAGGAGGTGGCGGCGAGGCCAGCTACAGACTTTCGGGGGGATTTAAACATCCCCTTGAAATTTTTTTCAACTTTTTGGATTTTTGTGCACACGTGAGGACCGCCCCACGTGTGCACAAACCTCCCCTCCCCCCCAAGTGCCCCCGGAGCACGGATTTAGCGATCCGCACTCACGGGGGCAACTTGGCTATTAGTATATAGATAAGCATATGGAGCAGAAGTCCATCAGTGGCTATTAGGCACAAGGTATAGATAGGAACTCTCAGTCTGGGGCAAGTGATGCTCTGTATTTTTGGTGCTTGGGGGGGCAACAGTGGGAAGGCTTCTAGTGTCCTGGCCCCACTGGTGGACCTCCTGATGGCACCTGGTATTTCTGGCCACTGTGTGACAGAGTGTTGGACTGGATGGTCCATTGGCCTGATCCAACATTGGCTTCTCTTATGTTCTTATGTGGGGCAGAAGGTTTTCCCATTACATTGTTCTAGTGCTTTGTTTTTCCATGGAAAAGTTCCCAATTCTAAAGATTCCTTGTCATACAATGAATTCACACCATCGCAAAGGGTTTAAGGCATTTATACCTAGAAACTGTGCCAAATTACATGCATGTTCTACTGATTTTTAAACAGGAAGGAGTGACTTCAAACAAAATATACAAATTCACTGGTTTGTATTTTATTTGAGCTGCATTCTTACACATCTCTTCTCACAAGGTGGAAGAGGCAGTGTAATCGCCAATCTGATATGGACCCAAGTATTGCTACAGAGAGAGACTGTGAAACCAAGATGCCTCAGCAATCTCTCTGGAAGAGAGTTGGATTGAAACAGAGGAGTACGTAATTGGCCTATGTGCAGTCTTACCAGCAGCATTACTCCAGTTGAAATCAGTGGTCTTAGACTGGAATAACCCTGCACAGGACTGCATTGTTAGCATGCCAACAGTTTCCAGTTTTGAATTTCTTTTGGAAATATGCCAATAAAATATTTTCAGTTTTGTTTGTGTTACCTTTAAGCCACAGAACTAATTTGTTCTTAATCGAATATGTCAGTTTACTTGTTAATACTAGGAGGGAAACAGAATTAACAAGCTTTGTTTACTAAATGCAAGTAAAAAATAAATATACTGCAAGTAAAAAATAAATACACTGCTCATGTTCTATTTAGGGTATTAGACCATTTCCCCAAGCGCTTCCTCCCCGTCCCCCCCCCCAAGGCCTGGCCAGAGCAGGAGATCTGTGAGCCTGGGGGAGGAGTGCCCCCTCCTTCACTAAGGTAACAGAAGCTTTTGAAGGAGGCAGATTAGGTAAAATCCCCTTTCCCCCAGCACTAATTAAGAGTAAGCTGGGAAAACCATACCTCTAGGCTGATCCAACAAAGGTTACTGCAAAAAGCCAGCTGTGGTAAAGTTATGCCACTTCTCCCCACCTCCCAAATATCCTAAACTGCCCTTTTGTCCAGCTGCAAATGTAAAATGCATCAATATGGTAATCGAGTCGTGCCTTTTATCCGCCACCTCTCAGCCAGGCCTCTTGCCCTTTTCACGCAGCTGTCTACTCCAGTGCACTAGGAGGGGACCGTCCATCTTCAAGCTCACCTCAAGCAACCCCCTCCCCCGCAACCAGTTACCACCCTGTAAAACGGCTCAGTTATTGACCAGCCAGTCAGCCATCCCAAGCAATGTTCCCTCTAAGCTGTGGGGTCTTGTGAACAAAAATTCTACTTTGTGAGCTACTTGTATTAAAGTTGTGAGCGAGCAATTTGGCTCCTGCATAATTTAGATTGTTCTGAAGCCATCCTTCCTGAACTAGGACAAAAATGTGTGAGCCGGAGGCTAAAATATTGTGAGCTAGCTCACACTAACTCAGCTTAGAGGGAACACTGATCCCAAGTATTCAATTGGGAAAATGTTGCAGGAAGCGCTTTACTGCAAGGGAGCGATAGTCAGACTCCTATCCACGTTTAATTGTTTTACAGAGATGAGAGGGGAAAATATCAAGTGGTTAGTCTGCACAACAGTTTTCAGAGCTGCAATGTAAGTGACAAAGGAGCGTCTTTTCAGAGAGCATAATTGCTCTTTGATGCCCCCAGAGACTCCTCCCAGAGATTTTTTTAAAGTTAGTGTGAAAACAATTCTGTCATCACACGCACACATATGCAAGGAGACAAACAGCACTAACTAGAGATGGAATAATTAATATTCTGCTCGGTATTTCCCCCTACAGCCTAGCTTTCAGGAGGAGCCACACAAGAACTGAACTAAAAAACCAAACAGGTGCTGTTACTTATGGGCAGAGCTTCCAACTATAATCAACTGTACCACTTGAAGCAGAAGCCTTTGCTGGGGCACCACACCAGACTCCTTTATACTGTGTTTTAATTCAGGTGTCCGATTAAAGGCCTGCCCTTTGCATGCACTGTGGTGACGCTGCTGGGTTCTTCTAATATCATCCATAAATAGGCCCTGGTTTTTTACTCCCCTCTTTTTACCAGACTTGGAGGCCCTTCATCTTATTTTGGTATTTATCTGTGTTGTGCTGCTTCTCGCTTACTGCAAATACACTGAAGAGTGAGACTGTGTAGTGGGGAGGGGTTAAAACCCAGTGAACGTGCTTTTTCTTTAGGGTAGCTGGATTCTGAATACAGGGAATTGCAAGCCTCACTTCATTAAGCAAATCAAGCTGCCAAGTGCCCTCAGGATCACTGCCTTGGCAAGACTTTTAAAAAGTTCTCCAAATGTCTGTGCTACCAGCCAGGTGGTGGCATAAAGGCAATCCATATTATGTGTCCTTTAGAATCATAGATGACCCTCCAGGATCATCTAGTCCAACCCCCTGCACAATGCAGGACATTCACAAATACCCCCCCACACCCCCAGAGACCCCCTGTTCCATGCCCAGAAGATGACAAAAAACCTCCAGGATCTCCAGCCAAACTGGCCTGAAGAAAAATTGCTTCCTGATCTCAAAGTGGTGATCAGCATTTCCCTGGATGTGTAAGAAAGGCCCGGAAGAACTAAGCTCTGATGCAACCCTTCCTGCCCACCCTCTCACGACCTGGCTAAGTTCACAGAATCAGCTTGCTGTCAGATGGCCATCTAGCCTCTGTTTAAAAACCTCCAAAGAAGGAGAGCCCACCACCTCACAAGGAAGCCTGTTGCACTGAGGAACTGCTCTAACTGTCAGGAAGTTCTTCCTAATGTTTAGCTGAAAACTCTTCTGATTTAATTTCAAACCGTTGGTTCTGGTCCTACCTTCTGGGGCAACAGAAAACAACTCTGTACCATCCTCTATATGACAGCCCTTCAAGTACTTGAAGATGGTGAGCATATCACATCTCACTCATCACCTCTCCAGGCTAAACATACCCAGCTCCTTCAACTTTTTCCTCAGAGGACTTGATCTCCAGACCCCTCACCATCTTCGTTGCCCTCCTCTGGACACGTTCCAGCTTCTCTATAGCCTTCTTAAATTGTGGTGCCCCAAACTGAACACAATACTCTAGTTGAGGTCTAACCAGAGCAGAGTAAAGTGATACCATCACTTCATGTGATCTGGACACTATACTTCTGCTGATGCAGCCCAAAATTGCATTTGCCTTTTTAGCTACTGCATCACACTGTTGACTGATGTTCAGTGCATGGTCTACTAAGACCCCTAAATCCTTTTCACACATACTACTGCCAAGACAAGCCTCCCCATCCTATAATTATGCATTTGATTTTCCTACCTAAATGTAGAACTTTACATTTATTCCCATTGAAATTCATTTTATTTGTTTTAGCCCAGTTTTCCAGCTTGTCAAGATCATACCATATCATGCCTCTGTCTTCTACCATATTTGCTACCCCTCCCAATTTAGTATCATCTGCAAATTTAATAAGCATTCCCTCTATTCCTTCATCCAAATCACTTATAAATATGTTGAACAAAACAGGTCCCAGGACAGATCTTTGAGGCACGCCACTTGTCACTCCTCTCCAAGAGGATGAGGAACTATTAACAAGCACTCTTTGGGTGCGATCTGTCAACTAGTTACAGATCCACCTAACAGTCATAGGCTCCAAACCACATTTTACCAATTTGTCAACAAGAATATTATGTGGAACCTTATCGAAGGCCTTACTGAAGGCAAGATAAACTATTTCTACAGCATTCCTCTGATCCAGCAAGGTAATAGCTTTCCTGATATAAGAGATAAGGTTAGCTTGATGTGACTTGTTCTTGAGAAACCCATGCAGGCTCTTGGTACTCACAGCTGTCCTTTCTAAGTGCTCAAGGACTGACTGTTTGTGATTTGTTCTAAAACGTTTCCAGGTGTAGACGTCAAGCTGACGGGTTGGTAGTTACCCAGATTCTCCTTTTCCCCCTTCTTGAACATTTGCCTGCCTCCAGACTTCTGGCCCCTCACCTGTTCTCCAAGAATTCTCAAAAATAATGGACAAAGGCTCAGAAATTACATCCACAAGTTCTTTAAGTACCCTTGGATGCAGTTCATCTGGCCTCATTTAAAGAAACTAGGTGTTTGTGTACTACTCCTACGCTGATCCTAGGCTGCAACTATTGTTTTTTGCCACAGCTGACTTATGGCGACCCCAATAGGGTTTTCAAGGCAAGAGATGTTTAGAGGTGGTTTGTCATTGTTTGCTCCTACGCTGTGACCCTTGTTATTCCATGGAGGTCTCCCATCCAATTGTTAGGGCTGACCCTGCTTAGCTTCTGAGATCTGATCGATCAGGGCTATGTGTCCTTGGGTTGGTCCTAACAGGATGTATTACATGGATTATGTGCGTGGTACTTTGGATTTTACTTTTGGACCAACATGGCTTTAAGCAGTTTGCCTATTTGATGAAAGGTAATTCATAAATGCTTCATATTTATTTGAACAGTGTTGTTTTAGTTGATAACTAGGGTCAATTCATGTGTTTCCCTTAGCTGAGGAGGCAGGCGGAATTCAAAACACTGGCTAACCCTGGATACAAGGCACCCCCCTGTCTCCAATCCCCAGCATAGTGTAGAGGTTCTTTTGATGGTAGAGGGGGAAAAATCCCCCTTAAGCCTGCACAGCTCTCAATAGCAATGTATTCCCTAGATTTCCCATTACCAAGACACACAAACTTCAGAGTATGGTACAGACATCTCTTGGCCTTCTTACCAGTACTGCCCCCCTCTTCACACTCAAGTATAACAGTAAGACCTCTCCCAGGCTCCATCCTGTTCTATAAGAGAAGCATTCTGAGCATATGGCTGTTTGGTAAGAGCAGACCTTCCAAAACTAGCTACTCTAAAGACACCACAGGCCAACCCCTCTGAAGACAGATACTTTCACAGCTTCGATGAATGCAACAGAATACTGTTTTACCAGTACTGAGCAGATAAGCCTATACCAGCTTATTTCACTATATCCATACACACCTAGTAGAAAAGACTAACTGGAAGGAGGCACACATGGGGTAGTCGTTCCTTTAGTCACTTATGAGTCACATCAATGCCACCTAGGGTTGCCAGGTCCCCCCAGCCATGGCATAGGATGGGGTGTGTGTGTGTGTGTGTCCCAGATCCAAGTTAGGAAGGGGATGAAGCCTGGGGAGGACAGGAATCTCATCCATTTTCTCCAGGGTAACGGATCTCTCTAGTCTGGAGATGAAGTGTAATTCCAGGAGACCCCAGGTCCCACCTGGAGACTGGCATCCCTAATGCCACCAGAAGAGGTTGCCCGCTGTTTCTCGATAGAAGTTCAGTGCACAGATGCAACAGGACGATTCCTACAGTCTCCCATGCAAGGAGAATCACAAGAACGTAACTGGAAGCTACAGCCAGCACACTGACTCGCAGAGACACAGCAGGCACCCTCTTTCTCCTAAAGAACTAGAATCGCTTTAAATAGTTTGCCTTTCAAAGGACAGAAGGTAAGAACGGCTACCGAGACTTTCCTCTAGAGTCACGCCCTTTTTAAAAAACTTGCACAACAACTGACCGTGGGTGGGAATTATCCAGATTCCACCCCCCACCCTTCCCCGCATGCATCGGTCTCCCTCCGAGGCACCTCTCACCGGAGCCGTCGAGTAGCATGAGGACGAAAAGGAGGAGACCACAGCAGAGCGGACCTACGAGGCGGCCGAGGACGGAGCGACGCGTCTCCATGTTCACACCACAGCTGAGCCTCACGAGACCGACAATAGCAGCGACAGCAGACCGACGACAACAGCCCGGCTAAGACCCGAAACCAGTCAGAAGAGTAGAGGCAGGGGAGAGAAGGGAGGCGGAGCCTTCTGGCGCTAGCCAATCACCGCGTCGCTCTGGCTCGGGCGCAGACTCTGCGGTTCACAGCCCATATCGCCCCCAGAATTAGACGAGGGAGGGTTGAAATCTTTAAATGCATTTACAGGCTTTTCAGTGTTTTTTATACGCCGCTTTGTAAAATTAGCCTGACATAGGTCCCGGTCACACGGGCAGGAAACTGCGGGGGGGAAGTGTGGCAGTTTGCCCCGGGGCAAACTAAGGCGCGGTTACCTGATCAGACCTCCCGTGGAGGTACTGTGGAGGTTCCGTGGGAAAGGAGAGGTGCCGATCGCAGAACTGTGTAAAGCTTTCATCATCGTTTGTAAAAGTGTTAGTTTATTATAATAGGATACTTATTTAAAGCAAATAAGCAATCATTCTGTATTACATTTGATTCATGTGAGAATCACACCTTTGTTCAGCTGGAAAGTGGGATAAAATGGGTTATCTATTTATGTGCTATAAAACGCAGGAAGCTGCTTTATCACTTTCATTTTGCTTCAGTCGTTTTTATGAGTACGTGTGTATTACTGCTATTTATCTTTACTCTGAAATACATCTCACTGAGATCAATGAGATTTAGGTGGGTAGCCATGTTGTTCTGAAGCAATAGGACAAAGTTTGAGTCCTGCGAAGTATGTATTGCACACAGAAGCTTATGCCCAGAATTAAACTTTGTTGGTCTTAAAGGTGCCACTGGACTCAAACTTTGTTCTGAGATCAATGAGAGATTTATAACTAAATGCCCCAAAGAATGGCAGCTTTTTCTTGGAAGCAGCCTTCATTGAAGGGAAGGAATCTATCAATCTATCTATCTATCCATCCATCCATCCAGGGCTTTTTTGGTAGAAAATGTCCAGCAGGAACTCATTAGCATAATAGGCTACACCCAGCAGCAGAAACACATTAGCATATTAGGCCACACCCCTGACTGCACCACTCATTAGCACATTAGGCCGCACCCACATGCTACCAGAAGTGTGGTTATCCAGCCACACCTACCTTTTGCTTGTTATTCTGTTTACCTTGTTTGTTGTCAAAACCCAGGGCTTTTTTTGTAGCAGGAACTCCTTTGCATGTTAGGCCACGCACCCCTAATATAGCCAATTCTAATGAGTTCCTGCTGTTGGGTGTGGCCTGTTATGCTAATGAGTTCCTGCTGGGTGTGGCCAACTTCCGTTCCTGCCCCAAAATAGCTCTGTATCTATCTGTCTGTCTGTCTATCTATCTTCTATCATCCATCCATCTATCATCATCATCTATTTTATTTTGTTGGGCTTCTAGCGCCCCCGCCCCCCCTGCGCAGCAGGCTCAGGGGGGGTTACATCATTCTTAAAAACATACAACACTTTACAAATAAAATATAACCATAAAACAGATACAAAGCAGTACTACTATATAAAAACCTCAAGGGGTGCCAGCAAGACAATTTGCTGTATTGGATGAAGTTCCCATCGCTGTATAGCTGCAGATCTAAACAGTGCAGGGAAAACGGGTGTTGGAATAGAGCAACTATGATGGCTCAAAAGGCTGCTAGACAGAGCTGAGCTAAAGAGCAGAGCAAAGCAGGGGAGGCCATTGTAGTTGGATTGTGCTGCCTCAACTGTAGGCCTGATGGAAGATCTCCATTTTACAGGCCCTGCAGAACTGCATTAGATCCCACAGGGCCCAGATCTCACTAGGAAGACTGTTCCACCACACAGGTGCCAAGAAGGCTCTGGCTGAGGCTCAGTAAATGAAAAATACTGAGACTGGCAATTGATTTCATCTCTCATACTTTATTGTAGGTTCAGAACAATAGCTAGCAATCCAAAACAGTCCAGTGGCACCTTTAAGACCAAGTTTTATTGAGGTACAAGCCCCCCCTCCTCTGCGAGGACAGATCTGCACGTCCCCCCCCCCCATAGCCAGCAATCCAAAACAGTCCAGTGGAGCTTGAGCAGTGGGTGTTGCCTTCTGACACACTTCCGATGATGTCAGGGGGCGCATATGCAACTAGGTTATGCTAATAAGCTATGCTAATGAGCTCCTGCACTTTTTTCTCTACGAAATAACCCCTGAATATTACCCTAAACTGAGCATCTATCCCGGCGCCATGCATGTTCATTTGTTCTACGTTCAACGAGGGTTGTTCCTTCCATGTCGTTGTGCCTAAGACTGAAAAGCGTGCATGGGGCGTAGCAAATACAAATGAACGTACCTAAAATCAACCTCCAATTGTGTTTTGAATGTTAACTTTCTCGTGAAGGAGGCGGGGACGGCAAACCAAACAATTAAATCTAGCGGCCGCCGAGAGAAAACGCTGAGTTAAGGCTGTCAAGCAAGTCACGTGAAGCCTTGTAATAATTGCAATGTTTGTGGTGCATGCAAGCATAGGAAGCGGCGGCGTGTGTAACATATAGATTTGCACAGGACGCTCATTTTGGCAGCGTGTTTTGTACCTGTCTGTATGCGTTGTTAAGGATATATAAAATATTTAGGCATTCTGTAGTGTTATCTATACGTTTTAAATAGCTGTGTTGATTTTCGTCTACCTAATCTAGTCTGATATATCTGTATACAATGCGAGTATGCAAATTAGTGCATCCTATAAGCTGCCTGTTTGAAAGTTTTGGTAGGAGGCGCCTTTGGCAGCATCGATTCGCAAGAGATGAAGGAAACACTGAAGACGGGTCGGTCGGAGGAAGCCCAGAATGGATAAATCATCACAAGATTCTTCAGAGCTGGAGTTCATTCGTTGACTGACCTGTTCTGCACAAAATGGCTCTTTGTTTTTGCGTCCTAAACCAACTTCATTTGAAACGTAAATTCAGAAATGTGCTTAGATATCCAGGAACACAAGGGCTTGTTGCAAAATACTTCGTTTTACAGGATGGTGTTAACAGATTAAAAGGTTGCAATGGCCACTTAAATAATAGTTCCGTGCTTTATAGAGTTCTTCGCATTGATCTTGTGGTTATTCTTACAATAAACCTGTAAGGTAGGTCACTACTATTATCCTCCTATGGCAGATGAGAAGTGGGGAAGGGGGTGGTTTGCTTAATACCACTTGAGTTTTAAGAGACAGAGGTTGACTGAGGGACTTCCTGAGTTAAACACTGCTGTCATTGCTATCCTAAGGCGATTTATATCCTTCTAAACCCACTGACTTCAACAGGCATATAAAGGTGTGACTCTGCAAGTCTCTTGGCTGCAGTGGTACAGTAGAAAGTGGCTGTTATCATTTCCCCTTTAGAACAACTGGTCTCAGTGGTTGAACTGGTCACCTGGTTCAAACTCCCAATTTTTCAACACTATAAAGATGTAAACAATTCTACTTCTGGGTGACTGGACATTTGTGATAGATTTTTTAAAAACAAAATAAAAGCTGCAACCCCAAATACAATTATTACTAAGTTTCACTGAGCAAATGGACTTGTTGTAAAGGCATTAAAAATCAGTGTACAAACTGCCAATGTAAAGTATACGTTATTATTTACAGCAGAGCAGGCGTTAGATCAAGTTAATAAGATCTGGAGCAAGTGAGAGGGGAAAAAAGATTGTATCAGATTGTAAAGCAGTCAGGGTCCAAAAAACTTGACTGTGGCAGTCCAGTCAATATTAAGTAGCTTATGTTGCATAGCTCCGATTTATTCTTCTGTTCCAGTGGTATTCAAGCCCTGAATATACTTTAGTGTAGGCTGCAATTAGGCTCAGAGTAACAGCCAGCTGTCCTCACTAACAGTGACACCCTAAGCAGTTATACCCTTTTAAAGCCCATTAAAGGCAACGGACTTAGAAGGGTATAGCTCTGCTTAGGATGGCACTGCGAGTCTCATTGAAAAGCTGGTGTTCCATACACCTCCTTAGAAAACATTAAGTACTACATAATGAAATCATAACAAAGCTTGAGTCCAGTGGCACCTTTAAGACCAACAAGAGTTTTATTCAAGGTATAAGCTTTGGTGTGCACGCACACTTCTTCAAACCAACACAGCTGACCCCCTGAATCACACTGAAAACATGTTATCATTTACTGGGGAAGCCTATTTTGACATGTCTGGGTCTGCTTCGGACAAGCACAGTCTTGTAGGACTACAGCTACTCTTCCATCAACAGGGAAACAGCGAGTTGCAACTTTCCTGATCATGGAAGAATACAGCACACTTTGATGTTTAATGCTAAGAAGGCAGAATCTTATAGGAACAGCTCAGTGTAAGTCAACCAGAAACTAAGAAAACCAGGCGGTAGGTTGCAGCACTTGCAACTGTTTTTGAACCCCCTCTGATATTAATAAAAGTGAAATCTGGAACTGAACACTTTCAAGTTGACTTGATCCTCTTATGGGCAAGCCCAGCCTTTCAGAGTAATTACCTCTTGCTTGTTATGAACTGCCAGGCTTTGCATAGCTCTGTGACCTCAATCCTCTGCATTGGTCAGTGTCACAAAGGAATGCTGCCTATGGCCTCTGCTCATTTCCCCTCCACACTCTTGGAGTGGGAGCAAAATCTGAATGTGGGCCGTCCTTTATGGCAGGTGGGAGAGGAAGCTTAAATTGTCTTCACACAGGCAGCTGTGTCTTTTGAGGTGAATATTAGGTTGGGCTTGTTTTTACTCCTATTCCTGTGTGGGGAGCCAGGTCCAACATGACCGTGGGTCCCAGTGAAGCTGCTGTGACAATGAACCACAGCTCAGGTCAATTTCTTCCTACATATATCAAAGAAATACAAAGATCAAGTCTTTCAGAGGCTTCAATAAATATGGGAAGTGGCTCCAAACCTCTTTGCTAGTATGGTTGTCCACAGAACATTCTGCAATTCTAGACTTATCTGAACCGCCATTCTATTCAGCCTTGAGAAGAACCAGCTCTGTCTAAATCAACTCTACAAGATGTTTACCCAAATGCACATTTACTGTCTGGTCTGCCCAGAAGCCTTGTTTGTTGCCAGAGCAACTTGCTGAGTAACAGGCCGAAAAGAATGTCACAGTGATAACACTGCTGGGAGCACTGTTTCGCATGCCTGTACTGCACACTGGCTTGGCATAGGACTCCTTATTTTGAACCAGAAAAGGAAATAAACTATTCAAAAATTCCACAGCTATAAGAACTGATATTATCACCTATTACAGTGTGGTCACTGTATTAATTTTGTACACCTTAGAGCTTTCATCTTACTGCTAAAAATCTCCATTTCACAATTATTGCTCCTTTCCCCTCTGCCTGTGTATATTCTGCCAACTGAGAATGCATCATAAAAAGTGGGCCACCTCTGGCTTCTCAAAGGTTATGCTTCAATACATCTTTAAGGTGCCACAAGCCCTGTGTTTGTTTTGGTGTAAGAGTGGCACAGAGCCCTGAGACAGCCATCCTTTCAAAAATGTTGAGAATGACGACACATTCAACATACATGAAACACATTCCACGGACATTAACAAAATGAAGAGTTTAGCAACACAAAACTGTTTATTATTTATTAAATGACACAAAATACCTAGATAACAGACTCACTCTTTTTAAAGGACATGTATTTACATTATTTACCAAAGAAGAGACTTTCTGTACCCATCACTGACTTCTTATGAAACATTAAAAAGGGTTGGGTTTTTTTGCATTAAAGGACGCAATGCTGACATGCCCCATTTGCAAGATTTGTGTTTTAAGTTGAATATTTTTATGCAGTGAACAAGCACAGCCTCATATTCTAAATGGCCTTGTGAAAAGGCTTCTGAAAAGGAACAAGTTTATTTCCCCTCCCACGTCTGCCCCCTCCCTCCCCCAAACTCCAAAGGTACTCTTCTGAAGAATTTACTTATACAAAAAGTATATTACATTTTTGAATGCTGCTGTACTCTTACAACTTTAAACTCTTCAAAAAGGAGATGCTCTTCCTATTATATGAAAACACTAAAAATAAAGAGTGGTATTTTCAAATGCACAAACAAAAACTTGTTTTAAAGAGAAAGCATTAGGACAGATGATATGCTCAGAAGAAGTTAAGGAGACCAGGACACACATACACACAAAACGCGCACATGCGCAAAAGACACAAAATGAGCATCTGAAAGATCAAAAAGATAAAACCACAGCTAAAGTAAACTTAACAATTTTCTACTTTTTTATTAACTATATGTACTTTGGCACCTTTGTGTAAGCTATAGAACAGAACAATCTTTACAACACATTTGCCGTTAATTTTGAAACAAAATGATCACTTTTATTTGTTTAAACCTGCCAAGAAAGAAAGAAAAATAATCCATTTTGGGTATAAAGATTTTTTTAAAAACCCAAAAAACCTAAAATATTTATCAGAATAAATTGTAATTTCTTATAAATTAGGCTGCTATAAACTGCATGCAATAGATGAAAGATTTAAAAATTTATGGCCAGACAAGCTGTGTGGGTCACAGTCTAAGCCCACTAGAAAAAAAGTGTATATACTATAAATATATTTATGGCTCAATAAAGCAGGCACATGATCCCAGCAAAGAAGTTGCTGAACAGTATGGCTGGAAAGTTTTTCTTTTTTGCCAGACTTATCACCAAACCAGGGAGTGTGTGTGTGGGGGGGGAGATGATCTTGTCATATTTGCTTAGAAGGAATGAGGACAGAGCTGTATGCTTGCTTCAGGTCTAGTCTGAAGTTCTGCTAGTGCTCTTGTTACAATATTAAGCACTGCCTCTGGAAAACATTGCACAGAAATGCAATAATTAAATAGAACAATCCAAATTGTCAGCATATTTAATGCCGAGATACCCATGGATACAGGTGCAGGATCAAAATACTTCCTAGTCCAAAACTGCCGGTTTTGAGGTGAAAGTTTATTTTAAAAAGTTTAGAATAGCTTTAAACAAATGTGTTCAAATAATGTAATTTGTTTTACTGCACTCACACACCAAATGGTATTTCTTTAATCTCCATCTGTCCCCCGTATTTGACTTATTTTTCTGCCAAGCTTCTTTACCATACACAATAACTTTAAGAAAATGTTATTCAAGGGGGGATGACAACTTTAGAACTGTCACAAACCATGAGATAACAGAGTGTATGAAATTGGTACACAAAGATTTTAAATGCCTTTCCCGTGACAAATTCCTTGTTACTAGTTCCCTGCATGCTCAACCACACTCTACACTCCTAGTAAGATTACTCACTATCCTGTATGGTGCAGCCTCTAGTACTTAAACCTCCATGCGAGTAATATTACTTCCCTGCACAAGATGATCATGCCAGTAAGGAGATGACTAAATGTTTCCACAGTTGGGGGGGGGGGAGATAAAAGATAAACTAAAACCTGAAGGTGAACTACCGGAACATTTTTTGTTGCCGGGGCTGGTTGAGAAGACCTGTGGAAGGTCAGTGCCGATGGGCGACAGCTGTTATCAGTATTGCTTCATGCAGTGATAAATTGCTTCGCTTTTGTTCAACAGGAACCCTGACGTTTGAAGAGAAACATTTAGAACAGCACAGGTTTTAAAGCCATATTAGAAAGGATCCCCTAGACACAATGAATACAATACAGTACACAGCACAGGGTCTTCTCTAGTCTGCTGGATGAGATGCTCTGAACAGCTAAACTAATGCTTCTTAATCTATAAATCAAGAATTAAAAAAAACAGGGGGCACCCTGCTCCCAGATCAGAAGTTTTGAAAATTTTTTTGCCTTTCACAACTCTCCTAGAACTGTGTATGCCCAAAAAGTGGACCAAATCTCCAGATTCTTAGCATGTATCCTTTGCTCTCCTAAATTAGGGAGGACTAGGGGGCCTAGCAGATCCATCAGGCCTTAAAACTGTGCTACTTCCAAGCAAGGGTGCAATATTCGGGGACATTGTGATAATGGGTTAAAAACAAAGGATTTGGACTATGGGGAGGAGGAAGCGTTGATCCCTAATGTTTGTTCTCTTGCAATGCAGTATGTGTATGTGTGGGGAATCCTGAATTAACAACTGTGACATTGTCCACTTCTGGGTTTGTGCTGTTAGGATTTCCCTCCTTGGGAAAAAATAAAGGGGAAGGAGACAGACATTTCCCCATGGCAGCTTTTATAGTAATGTTTCCTTTCCTTTCTTTTTTCTTTGCAAATATTTGGGAATGGAAGGTGTATCACCAGTCTAACCCTTAGTCTTCCACAGCAGTCTTTGCAGCACAAACCCAAGCTATTAAGGATGCCAACAACAAACAGGGATAAGCCATTTAAATCTCAGACGTCCATTTGCAGCGGTGCAAATTCCCTTTCCAACAGTTGCAGAAAAGTTTTGGTATACTCAAAGTACGGTAGAAACTTTTGTTATTCTGAGGGACAGTCAAATCCATATAAGGTTTTGCTATCTGATAAATACATCCAATAATGCTGTACAGTAATTAAGAGATTTGCATGCAGTTTAAGCATTTTTTTTAAAAAGACTACATTTTTGTTAAATTTTACCTTTTTATTGTTTTGAGATGAAAAAAGGGCTGATAGCCTTGCGCTAAAGAGAGACTTCCTCTTTAGATCTGGGGACCAATAGAATCACAAAGACCAGGTACTTCCTTACAGTTTTCTGCACATCATACCAAATATCATGCAAAGAGTTCAACAGCATTCTTCTTAAAATGTAAATACTACTCTTTTAAATGGGCATGTTAAGCCACTGAAAAAGTCCATTGTACTATTTCCCACCCATTACGTTGCTTTCACTCAGTCATTGGTAGTAGAAAAAGTTATTTTAATGGGGCCAACAGGCTCGTTTATCCACCAGCAACCAAGTAGAACATCAAGTGTGCAGAAAAGGAAAACAAAGGCCCAATGTGTGTGTTTTATGCAATGTAGTTGTACTGGTTGGGATTCTCCTTGTCTCTTTCCATGTAGTCTCTGTCAATTAGCGATTCTATTCTCTTCTTAAGGTCAGCGGGCTGCAAAAGCAATTCAGAATGTCAGCAACTGTTTTTATACCCATTTTCATTAAAAATGTAGTATTCAACCCAATTCCCTCAAGGTGTGCAAATCTTTATAAACAGAGGACATTTAGATTCGGAACCTCATCTTAATTCATAGAACAGGTGGCTGTCAACATGCACTTCCCATGTCTACAGGATCTTTCCAGGGCTGGCTCTATAAATGATGGCCTCAGGCACTGGCTGGCCACCTCTGACACCTTGCCGGCACCACTGCGTCTCACTTCTCACTCCCTGCCTCAGCCCAGGAGCTGGAGTAGCTAATGCTTCTTCCCTCCATGCTAACCTGGGCATCTTTAAACACAGCCCAGCAAACTACACACACCCAAAAGAGCTTCCTGAACTTGCGTAACATTCCTCTCGCAGGTGGAAGCTGCAAGCACCAACAGCTGAGCCGCTGTGAGATCTTTCTCTGTAGGAGGACAGCATCTGACACCACAATGCACCAAAGTATGTACTTTGAGTAGACTGTGCTGGTAACGCACCCCCAGAAACTCAATACCACCCTAGTTGATCCTATATTACAAATCATTTTCACTGTGGCTAAATCACTTGACGCTCTAATATAGTAAACATTCAAATGAAAACTGGGTGGTTTTTTGGGAAACTGCTGAGTTGAGAGTATTAGCAACATACTGCTGACTCTCTTACCTTTACTGGGAATTTCAGCTGGTTGTACACCTCAGACACAAGCAGATTGTGACTAAGTGTCTTGCGCATTTTCATGATTCTCACAATTGCGGCATCAATTTGGTATTGCCGATCCTGAAAGACTCTCTCTGTAGTGCTTGCTTGTTCCTCCACCTGAGCATGCCAAGAGAAGAGAAAAAATGGAGAAGGGGAGGGGAAAAGCACATCTGGAATCAAAACATATCTACTGTTGTAGATTCAATTGACTGTACATTTTGGATAGCCAAAGTATTGATGTTTACCTAGATACTATACTTAGACTAGGAAGTGTCAGTCACATAACCCAAGATGAAACCAGTGTTCCCTCTAAGCTGAGTTACTGTGAGCTAGCCCACAGGTTTTTAGCCTCCAGCTCACACATTTGTGTCTTAGCTCAGGAAGGATGGCTCCAGAGCAAACTAATTTATGTGGCAGCCAAATCGCTCGCTCACAGCTTCAATGCCAGCGGCTCACAAAGTAAAATGTTTGCTCACCGGACTCCACAGCTTAGAGGGAACATTGCAACCACATTGCATAGGAAGAGAGAAAATTCTCTACATGTTCAGAGTCAGTTCATATGCTTCAACAGCCAGTATGGTATAGTGGTAAGTATCAGGCTAGGATCTGGGAATCCCAAGTTCAAATCTGGTCTGCCATGGAAGCTTGGTGGGTGAACCTGGACAAGTCACACACTTTCAGCCTAATCTATTTTATAGGGCTGTTGTGAGGATAAAATGGAGGAGAAAGATGTAAGCTGCTTTGGATACCTGTTGTGGAGAATGGTGGGGTATAAATAAATAAATTAAATGGAACTCTTACTGTAAACATGGAGCCCATTTAAAAGTAGAAGGAAGGACATAAACATTCATTATCAACTCAAAAACTTGTCTACAGAGGAGACAGCGCAAAGCAAGCTCCGATGCCTAGAACAAAACATGAGCTTTCTTTCCAGATTTTATTCTGGAAGGCTACATGATAGGGTACCTGACCAGGAAGAAAATGGGAGCCAAACAGGATATTAAAACTGCATCCAACAAGCCAGCTGGCAGGAAGCTCTAGCTCTGACTAGCAAGGATGCACTGTAAACAGGTACCCAAACACTGTAAGCAGGTACCCAAACAAACCTACATACATAATAGGTCCAGTGTCATTTAACACACAACACAATGTGTTTTTCAAATATCAAATATCCTGCTGTCTGGCATCCCATCCCCAAAAGGAGGATTTGGGTAGACACTCCCACCACATCACCCAAGCTGCTTAAGACAGGCAGCTGGACCCAACATTTTTGGTACTGCCCTGCCCTGAGCTGATTTAGGCACAGCCTAGGCTTCCAGAAGGTCCTGACATCTATTACAGTAAACTAAAGGGAAAAACAAAGTAGGTACCGTTTCTTTCATCTGGATTTGATTGATTTTTATCCTGAACAGCTTATGCCTGAAGTCATCATTGCAAGTGAATTTGTCTCCATCTTCCACATCCTTGCCTTTGGGGCTTTTGGTCAGTACTCTTGCCTTGCCACAGGCTAATGACTGGAGGGTTCGCCGTAGCTCTCCATCTTCTGCAACACAAAGAGAGAGAGAGACAGCTTAGTAGGCTAGCTGCCAGCATTCAGAAGCCACAAGCAGCTCCCAATACTAACCAATTCCAGTGGCCTGTTTTATCTCCTCTAAACTGAACTCTTCGCCTTCATTAAACATGAGCAGCACTAGAGTCTGGAACAGGGAGACTTGTAGCTCCTTTTTGCCCTGTCAAGGAGAAAGTGATCAAACATTACAGTGCCAGTTTTGAAAATGTCAGGTAGTTCACTGTAAGATACTTCTATGTCTATCAGAAGGAAAACATATGTGGAAATATTTGACTACTGCCTTCAGCTCTATGCAGGTCAAAAGTTTAGTCAAGGTTTGTTTTCATTAGCCATAAGTTAAATGTTAGAGTGGAACACAAACCATGGTTATGATGTGGCTGCAAAAATCAGGATGCAAAGCTGTGATGTGAAGTGGGTTTAAGAACCATGGTTTGTATTTACCATAGGTAAGTGTCTTATCTGAAGTGATTAAACACTGTTATGACAATTTCCACAAGTTCTTCAGCCTCTCTGCTTACAAAATGTCAAGCCAGTCTCAGTAGCTTCTCTGTGTACACACCCTTGGCTCACCAAGTTTAAAACCATGGTTTCACTGTACTTTATAAATCCAGATCAGAGTTAATGCAAGAAACTACGACTAGTTATGTTTACACCAGGCTTTAAGGCTATACCAAATGTTTTCGGATTCAAAAGCATAATTCTCCTTTGGGCCTATGCAGCCTTACTTGAGGGGAAGATGAAATTGTTCAACTGTCATGTTCCCTGACAGCTGGTGTGGTTTAGTGGTTAGTGCTGGACTAGGATCTGGAAGACCCAAGTCTGAATCCCCTCTCTGCCAGAGAAGCTTGCTGGGTGACCTTGGGCCAGTCACACACTCTCAGCTTAACCTACATCACAGGGTTGTTGGGAGAATCAAACCGAGAATAAGAGAATTATATAAGCCACTCTGGGTCCCCCACTGGACAGAAAGGAGGGGTATAAATGAATTAAAATAGGATAAAATAAAAAATAAAAAGCTCCATGCATAATGAACCAAAAAGAAAGAATGGCCTTACTTTTACAAGCATATCTAGCTTAGCTAATATAAATGGCTTTTACCTTCGACATTTACTGATATTCCCCCCCTGAAGCATGGAAAGCCTTACACCTGTGAGTATTTACAAAGCAGAAGAATTTATATGGGGGAAAAAAAGAGTTCAAGGGAGCTGAGGAGAAACCCAGAGACCCTGAAGAGAGTTTCAGAATTGGAATGGCCATGAAAAACTCCTGTTATGTTTCATCAGCATTATAATTTCAAACATGCGCTGAACCATTCATACAGACACCAGAAAGGAAAATTACCTCTTTAAATTCTGCTTTGAGTACACAGTGCCCTAATGTAGACTGCCACTGAAGCTTCCTGCCACTGTGTTTTCCGAGGTAAAACGTCTTAAATATCTCCTGCAGTTTTACCATCTAGAGAGAATAACAACATCAACTGCACTCTATATAAATTGATTAACATTTTCTCAACCAGATTTTTTCCTTCTCTTCCTTTTACTTTACAAAAGCTACATTAATATTTCAGTTGAATCTAAGGATGCAATCTCCAGCAGGCCTACTAAGAAGTCAGTCACTTTATTCAATGGGGCTTACTCCCAGGAAAGTATTTTTAGAACTGCAGCCTTAATCATGCAGCAGCTTCTCTTTGATGATATTATTATATACATTCAAATAACACTTTCCCCGCTTTACATCCTTTAGAAAATAACAAGGAAGCATAAAAGAACTGAATCCTAAATCTTGTCATGGTATCTTTCAAACTCAGAGAAATTAAATACATGCAACTACAGTAGCACAAGCTCATGTCTAATTTTCCTTATCTCATTTTATAAGGTATTTTTAATATCCTGCCAAGAGACAGATGCTATCTCAAGACATTCTTGGTACTTGAACACTCGGAAGTTTTGGAAATTATTAGGCAATTCAGTTCTAACTTTTAACCATTCATTTGTATTGGTCAAAGTCAGGCAACAGTAATTCAGTTAGTCATGCTGGCATCTTACCTCTGATGGCAGGTGGACTTCCATAGGCACGTAGGTTGGCCAATAGCCCATAGTCAAGATATTCACCGTGAGTTCAATGTTACCAGGTACATTCTGATTTTGCATATACTGCAAGAATGAAACATAGAAGGAATGACAATAAAGTATTACAAACAAGTAACAGGCATTATTTGTCAGAGCCTGTAAAACAAATCTGAATGATATTTGTATCCTGTTATTCCTCCAAAGCGCTTAGAGTGGCACAAGTGCCCCCCACCATTGTATTATCACAAACTACCTTGATATGTAGTTCAGGCTAAAAGTGCCTGTATTTTGATACCATTTTGATAGCCCTGTGACTATTCATGACAAGCATGAATGCAGCTTGTCATGGTACCTGTCTGCCCCCCCACTCCCGAACATGGAGTGCCAGAGAAAGCTTTCTGGTTTTGTAAGCCTTCAAACAAACTCCAGTTTGCAATACCATCTGAATGTGGGCATCTGGGAAAACTGGAACTTGTTTTTTCCTCACAAACTGAGATTAAACCATGGTTTAGAATCCCTATTTTTGGGGGGGAAGAAACAAACTCCATTTTCCGCAGATACTCACATTCAGGTCATAAACTGGTATTTGTCTGAAACCTTTCAGTCACATTTTGCATGTGAGGGGAGGAGGGACAGGAGTACACAAGCAATGCAATATGCTGTGTTTGTGCTTGTAATGAATAAATAGGTCTTAAGGTCTAAATGAAGGCAGTAGCTTGCCCAAATTCGCCCTGAGTTTCATGGCCAAGTGGAATTTAAATGCAGGTCCCTCCAGCCCTGTTCCTTTACCCACTACGTCAACAAACAGGCTACATGAAAAACAATGGAAAAACAGATTTGGCAAACAGAATGCAAATTAAAAAAAATTAAAATGAGAGGCAGCTACTCCTATGGTGTGGAAAAAAATGAATGTTCGGGAAGGCCCTCTCAAGTGCAATTACAAAAGCTTGTTTTGTCAAAATACCAGAAGCACGGATCTATAGTTATGTAACATAATTTAACACTCGCATGAAAATTACTAAAGAATATTAAAACTGCATTTATTTAGCCACTAATATTTTTAGTAATTTTCATGCAAATATTACATTTTATTACAAAAAATACCAGAAGCACCTGGAACCCAGAACACACTCAGAAAAATGTAAACTGTGGAAGGTTTTGTACTCATACCTGTTTAAATTGTATCATGATGTCTTTAGAAAGTTCCATGTCCTTAAACATTCCTTCAAGTTTGCTAGTGAAAGCAGCTCCACATTCTATAAAAGGATATTTGTATTGAAGTTTCACTTAGCTTTATTTTGTGGATTCCAGCAGAAAATTTAAAAGTGTGTCATTAACAAAAAGAGATTCTATTTTGTAAAAACAGAGCATGCAGGGCCAATTTCCGACTCTCAGATCAAGTCTAGCAGGTAATTATTTAAAGCACTGCATCAAACACCGAGTCCTGTAGCATTTTAAAACATTTTTAAATTTGCGACAGTGACAGCTTCCAATCAGCTATATCCTAATTAGACTATAGCCCATGAAATCTCACATCACAACACATTTCTCTTTGTTAGACCAATGCTGCTTAGAAAATTCTGAGTGACCATGGAGTGGACTGTTATGTTGAAACAAAGGCCCAGCTTTGAGGATGTAAAGCTTAGATTTGTGGGAAAATCACCAGCCTAGGCAGAGGATCACACAGTTAAAACTTACTGGTATTTGCTGATATCAGATGAAATGTTTTTGCATCAATCTGATATAAGCACGCATCCTTTAATGCAGTTAGTATTGGGAAGGTACCCTGGCCCATATGGTTTTGATGTGCATGTGAACTTCTTAGCAAGCACAGGTGTCCCTCTTTCAGAGCAAAAGCAGCAGCTGCTCCTTACGCCCAAAAGGGGATGTGGCCCTGAGCTGCCTGCCCTGCCCTGACATTGCACAGGAAAACTATAAAACACATGGAAGTTCCACATGTCTCTCAGAACTCCTGTATCTACTCTGTTTTCCCACCCAGGCTTGCTCCTCTCCATAAAGCCATCTTTCTTGATTCAACCTTTTGCTAAAAAGTTCCAGGTTACCTACGTACACTATTTGCTTCCCTCTGAATTTAGCTGCATGATAGCTTAAAATCCTTTAACAGAACATTCTGAAAGTCATTCAGGGCTGCTTCATATGACATTTCTCTCACAGAAATGAATCTCTACATAGGAAACATACACCGAGGCATGTGAAGAATGATAAAGTGACCTTCCCCTACAATTATGCATACCAAGGAGCTTCAAGTATGTGATTTCCCTCATACACTGAAAAATGATGGCAGAGAAAAAGTGTGAGGGAAACTGTTCTCAGACCATTTAACTACTTCTTTGCAAATACATCCATGCACACAGCATTTATCACAGGAGGGAAACACAGAGACAACCTGAACAAGGAGAATTTAGAGGACAAAAGAAAACCTTACCATGTTTGAGTTTGGAAAGCATGGATTTCTCAGCATCTACCGATGCACTTTTGCCCACTAATAGCCGCTTAGCTAGATCTTTTTTGTAAAAGGCCTCAAAAACATCCTTGCCTGTAGAAGACAGAAAACTCATTTTTTCAAAAGCCACAGCAGATTTTAACTGTAACCCCCTCAAAAAGCATTAGAGATGAGCAACTAGCAGCTCCTGGACCTCCTGAGGGGAATAATCTAGCATACATACCCATACCCCCACTTGCCAACCCAAAGAAAGAGCATTGAGAGATTGCTGTGCAGACACAGAGGTTGTCAGTAGCTAATCTGAGAAGATGGCAGATGGTATCCATGCACATACTAGATGGGGGGTCGTGCATTTCAAAAGTTGGGGGGAGGTTAGTCATTTTTGCAAGGGTCTTTACACTATACTCGTTATGAGTATAGAAGTGTTCAAATGTATTCAGAGAAATGAACATACTTGATTATTTAACCTATATTAGATCAAGAGAGGTAGTCATGTTAGTCTGTCTGTGGTAGTAGAAAAGAGCAAGAGTTCAGCAGTACCTTAAAGACTTAAAATTTATGGCAGGGCATGAGTATTTGAAGAAGTGAGCAGTGACTCACAAAAGCTCCTACCCTACCACAAATTTTGTTAGTCTTTAAGGTGCCTCAGGACTCTTGCTCTTTTCTACTACCCTGTATTAAGCCTTTACTCTAATCTTCGAGACCCCAACTCAAGAAACTGAGAGGACAGCAGCTACACAATTGTAGATTCTTTAAAATTTACACTGAACCTACTTTCAAAGTTGCTTTTTTGTGTAGCTGCTCAATGTTAAGAGAAGATTTAAGCTCTTACCGTATATGAACCTAAATATAATCATAATTTTATCCAGCATCTTTTCTAGCTCTTCATCAGTAGCCTCTTTGTTGCCTGCACGAAGCTTTGAATCGACATACTTAGCTGAAACAAAAACAGAATTAAGGGAGTAATGGGATCTGAACATGCAAGCCTTTTCTTTGCTCTAGAACAGGC